TTCTCAGACATTTTGAAAAAAGGTATTAATGGAGATCATTACTCTACTCCAATCCCTTCTTTTGAACAACCTAGAATTCTTTGAGAGAATCTAAAAAGGATAGATTCCTTCCACGGCCCTTTCATTTGGTTGTTTTTAGCCTTTACTCTTCCCTGAGAACCCTTCTGCCTCATCTAAGAGCTTCCCCCAAAAGTGGAGGGGTGGTGGGAATAACTCAGACTCCAATTTGGGGCTCAGCCTAGAAACAGACTCTGAGGTTTTCCAGGCCTTCAAGCTGGATTCCAAGGATGTCACATACGTGTGATTCCCAGGGTCTGGCATGTTCCCCAAAGAGGTTACTGATGTTTCCACCTTTGGCTTCTTTAATTCTGGTGACATCGCTTGTGGATAGAATGACTATGACGGAGACTCATTCCCACTCATATAATGAGGGTTTCTTTTCCCCAAAGCATCTTGGAACAGGCTTAACCCTCATTCGTAACATCTAAATACATATCTGAAATGACCAGTGTGGCTGTCCCTAGAGTCATTATCATCTAACAGAAGGACCTCAGTCACTACCTCCTGGGCATCAGCGAGAGGCATTGCAGCCCCATGGTTAAGCACATGGACTGTAAAACCTGATGTCTGAGTTTCAATCCCAGCTGTGCCTCTTAGACACATGCGAGCTCCAACACTTTATCTAACCTCTATGGACTCCTTTTTCTCACATGTAAAAGGAAGGTAAGAACTGGCACCTACGTCAGCCAGTTGCTGTGAGAACTAAATGAGGTGACGTTTGTAACATGCTTAGGACAGGGCGAGGCACACAGTGAGCGCTAAAACATCAGCTGTAAAATAGCTCTAGAGTTCAAAGTCTGTGTCTGGGAATGAACATGTACTATTTTATTATTTTATTTCACTTTTTGTTTTTTTGTTTTTTACTGGAGAACGGTGTGTTTTCTCCAGGACTCATCAGCTCCAAGTCAAGTAGTTGTTTCAGCCTAGTTGTGGAGGGCACAGCTCAGTGGCCCATGCAGGGATTGAACCGGCAACCTTGGTGTTATGAGCACTGCGCTCTAATCAACTGAGCTATCCGGCCGCCACAGAACATGTGCTATTTTACATACCTATAAAATACCATGTGTATTTACCAATCCATTCATAGGAAATACACAGATATGCTTCTTCTAAGCATGAGGTTTTAGCTATATTCGGCCTCTTTCCATAAACTGACATCTCCTATTCATTTGTCTTTCAATTGGGAAAATTGAGAATGTGATTTTTTTCAGCAAAAAAATACATATATATTTAATTTATAGTAAATAAGTAAAGTCCAGAAAATGCAACATAGTAAAAGATCTAGAAAACTTAGAGGAAGGAGAAAAACTCAAAATACGTAAGGAGCAAGATTTTCCATGGTCATCCTAACAAAATAACCCCAAAACAGCCTGTAGAAATATGATCTGGAATGGTTTCACCATTCTAAAAAAAGCTCAAATTTAAGCTCTTCCAATAACAATGAATTAAACAACATACAGAAACATTCACCTTATAGGTCTCAGTGAATTAAAGAGGACTTTCGCACTATTGGGGATACCAGGCTCCACGTATGCAGAGAGGGGATTGGTCCCATGGTAGGGGAGATTTATGCTTGGACCATCTAACAAGATAAATTCTTTCCTGTTTGTCCATCCACTTCAGGCCAGCCACCACATGAGCCTAGATCTTAAGGTTGCTTTTCTTTAACTCCTGCTTTCAACAAGGTAGGATGTAGTCATACACACATCCAAGGAATCCCCAGAAAGTCCTAAAATTCACAGCCAGAGTATACTAAACATGATCCTATAACATTCTTGCTTTGTATAGCCTGAAAATAGAGACAGTCACATGATGTTAACAGGCTCTTTTATAGTATCTGACCAAATGGAGGCGAGAACAAAATTCTGATACGTCTGCCCCTTAGCTTGCGGTGCTCACGTCACTGTGTGCACCTTGAGGAGAAAGACAAACTCCAGTGGGGACTGCTTCAGCCAAAATGGTTCGCTTGACACCTGTGCAGCGAACCTTCAAATGCCACTTATCCTAATTTCTAATATACAAACGCCTTCACATGCAGTCCTATTGTTGAATAAATCCTTGGCTTAAGACCTTGCTTCAAACCACTCAAGGTGAGCGGATGAAACATGCACAAATTATCACATTGATGAATAAAGTTCAGAAACAGCACTCCGTTCCCAGGAGATCACAGGACAAAATCCCTGTGCCCCGCCAACGACAAATATAATGCTCCCGACAGTGGAACAAGGTCAAGAAGCAGCTAGATTTCCGTGTCACAGCCTCCCTTCCTCTCCCTCTGGCCCAGCTCACCTGAGGATTCAACACTTTGCAGCCCACAGAGTCGGGGACACAGCTGTACCCCAATGGTGGCACGTAGGCATGGAACCACCATCAGGACTCCAAGGCAGCTAACTTAAGTCCGTAGGCGAGATCCATGAAAGCAAAACGTTTCCCAGAGAAATGAAGGCTTGGCTACCCATAATGCTATTAAAGAATACGGGAGATACACACACACACACACACACACACACACACACTCACACTCACACATGTGTGTGTGTGTGTGTGAGTGTGTGTGTGTGTGTCTATTTTACCCTAGAAATGCATTTTCCTTATATGCTCTTGCTTTAAGAGCAGAAATGATTCTGGAATGACCCACTGTGACAGTGGTAACAAAAACCTTGTCTCGGCTTAGGGAGGGGAGATATCCACCCCTCTATGGCTGTGGTATCTCTGAGACCCACCATGGCTGGTCAAGGTAAATGCGAGGTAAACTCAGAGTTTCAAACCAAAACGGAAAACTGAATATGTTTACATGAGTACTCTTCATTCCAGTATCATTCCTAATTGACTCGGCATTTTTTCATGGTGTCCAATGAAAAATGTCCCCCCATGCAGTGGGGCCTCCCACAGTCTTGTGAACCCACGTGTCCCTGCAAAATCGCACGTTGGCGAAGCAGCAAGCAAACTGCCTCTATCGCCTGTTCTGTGGGCCTCACAGACTTGCAAGGACAAGGTGGTGGCCCGTGTCTGCCAGCCTGGCAGAGGGAACGGGCAGTGAGGGAAGGGGCCCCACCCCCAAAGCTCCCCTTCCCATTTAGAAGCCCCTATATTAGACAACCTACTTCTATTCATTTGTCGTAATCTTTCCTCCGATCAGGCTGGCAGCCCATTAATCATTTCTGTCATTCCAACTACATAAGCCAGCGCAACAGATCTGTTTTTCTAAAAAATCCCAGTGCCAGAGACTAAGCTTAAGAAAGAGGAAATTCTCTCGTCCTGGCAGGGAATGGGGTGCTGACTGGAAGAAGCCACCAATTGTGTTGACTTTCCACTTTTGCCCAGAATCACATGGAACATGCTGTGGAAAGTTTTTAAGAGAATTCAGGTAAGATGTGGAGGTAAAGTGGCTGAAGAGGAACCCAACCCATCATGGAGCCCCCAGAGCGAAGGAGAATGTGAGAAAGGGACGTGGGTGAATAAATGCCAAGAGAAAGACAGATATGGATTCATAAAATCCTTATTAATGTTTTCATTAAGGCCAGTTCTTTCAGCAACTTCAGGCCAAAGACAAAGTACAGTAATACCTTGGTTTGCGAGCATAATTCATCCCAGGAACAAATTACTCATATTGCAAGACATCGCCCGTTTACCACGTTAAACTGTATTAGAAATGTTTGCTCGTCTTGCAGAACACTCACAAACCACGTTACTCACAATCCAAGGTTTTACTGTATATTAAAATTCGAGGCCCACAGCCATCACCTGTACACCCTGAAGCAATGAAAACCTAAAATTAACTAGACCAAATGAAACGCTCTCCAGTGACAAGGGGAAAAAACCTTTGAAGGACCTGATACACATGCTCCATAAGGTGGAAGACATAAAAGTGGGCGTGGTCTAGAACCCATTGACATCTTGGGCTAATTTATTTATTTTCTTAAGGAAGGAGGGTATGCCTTTGGGGTAAGAAAGAGCGTTGACAATAGAGACCAGGAGACAGAAGGACCATGACCTGTGACTTCTCCAGGATCAGGACTCAGACCCCTCACGCATCACTGCAGGCCCTATTGGGGTCCTTTGCACAGGACAACAATGAATGGTGTAATACACAATGTCTAAGATTAGCAGTTGAGAGACTTGGTTTCTCCTCCCACGCCTGACCCTGCCAACCTGATCGAGGGCAAGTCCCTTTACGAATGAGAGTGAATGCCCAGAGATGTCAAGTGAGTGCACTGTGCCAACTTTCAGGTCCTTAGGAGAGTCGTGGTTTTAAGGTCTCTGGAAGCTCTGAGGCTCTGCGATTTCATTACGCCCATGAGGACGGGCCCATGTTACCAGCGAGAAGTCAGTGCGTTTCACATACGTTAGTGGTTGTCCGTGGTGGTGTTGAGTCAACTTGTAATGTGTAGTGAATCAGTGATGTCTCAAGCGGTGTAATAACAAGTACATGTTTTTTGTATCAACGTTGGTGAATGTTTTACTTTAAAACACAAATTAGAGCAATTCTGTCTTACTGTAGTTGTTATGTTTTAACTGCCACTTTTCAAAAAGCACTGGCATTCACTGGAACAGAGGAGAGAAATAGACGCCACGTAGGGACCATACAGAAATGGTTATAACACCACCACAAAAACACTTAAAACTATGTAGAACATTGGCTCTCTTAAACTTGCCGAGAGATAGTATACGGGTAAGATTTGGGCAATTTAACGGACTCCCAAGGGTACATCTGACTTAAGTGCTATCTTAGAAGGCCATCTCCTACATAATCACCTATGCCATGCTACAGCTTGGAAAGATGAATGGGCACCATTTATAATTGAAAGTTTCCTTATGGGTGTGAACTTCAGCCAGGCTGAAGGTGTATCATTCCGCTTCATGTCAGTAAATGAACACCCATCTGCAGTTAGGTTTAGGACTCAGCAGCAAATAATGTGAACATAGAAAAGAAAGCTTACCACAAATGCTACTGTACTTCTCAACGTGGACTCCCACTGGAAACAGCTTTTAAGGAACTGTATTGTATTCCATATCGCCATGGTGATTCTTTTCACACGGTCTACATCTCTTGATAAGATCTGATTAAAAAAAAGAAAAAAGAAAAAAAAGAAAAACAGGGAACTAGATATGAGTACTCCAAACACTCTCTTTACATCAGGCATCTTGGCCATTTAAATTGTGTTTTGTATAGCAGCCAATTAAAAAAAAAATAGAAATGTCCTAATACTTTTTTTCTAGAATTTTTTTTTAAAATATGATGATCCACAGAAGAAAAGAAAATCCAATGCATCTTATAGCTCCTTTACTGGAGACTGCCTGCTTCAATCATATCCATCACAAAACTGAGCTGGCAAAAGCTACAGAAGCCAGGTACTTGGGGTGTATGTGTGTGTGTGTGTGTGTGAGTGTTGTTTGTGTGTGTGTGCGTCAGTGTGTGTGTGAAAGTGTGAATGTGAGAGTGAGTGTGTGTTTGAGTGTGTGTGAGAGTGAGTGTGAGAGTGTGTGTCAGTGTGTGTGTGTGAGAGTGTGTGTGTGTTGTTGTGATTGTGTGAGTGTGAGTGTCAGTGTGTGAGTATGTGTTTAAGAGAGAGACAGACAGAGAAAAACAGAGAGATGGAGAACTCTGGGGACAGGCGTCTATCTTGTTTAGTGTAGAAAGAAATGGATAGATTGGTAGGAGAAATGGACATGTATTCTAACTCATCAGGTGCAGAAGAACAAGTCTATAGGAAAGTATAGTTCTGGGCTGGGAATCTAGATCTCCCACCTCCTAGCTGTGTGACCTTGGGCCAGTTTATTAACCTCTCTGTTATATAACGGAATTAATATTAATACTAACCGTGCAGAAAGGGCTTAGAATAGCTTCTGTCACATAGTGCTTATAAGTACGTGTTTGCATCAGAAGCACAAGTTTCAATTTTATGTAAATTTGGGGACACCTAGTGGCGAGAAGCGTGGGGAGGAACCGAACACACACCCGGGATCTCAGCCCCAAATCCCCCCAAAGCCACCCCACGTGGAGGTACAGTGTTTGGCAAAGGAAATGTCTTTTCTCCCAGTTGTAGGCAGATTCATTTCAATTTGTTTGCAAAGCAGCTGCCCCACCTACCTCAACCCAGGTTTTAACTTTCAAGTAAACACAGTGAAGGGCAGTAATAATAATAAAAAAATAAGGGGTTTACTCGGATTACACAAGATAAATATTACACCCAATGTTATGGCAGACCAAAGCAAAACATTTGGATGCCCCCCTCGGAAGACGCTGAAGGCTGCCTTTCCCCAAGTGTGCCCCGTTCATGGGAAACAAAAGGATGATAAGACGCCTTTATATTTAACTGCTTTATGTCATCCACAGCTGCTCACCCCACAGGAAGTGGGGGAAGTAATAAACACTTTCAAAAGGGGACACTTTGTTCTCGGTTACACAACTGAAGTGGGACAATAGGTACAAGGCGAAATCCTGAACTGTGTCTGAACAGGACCGGGAGGTACATTGAAAAGAAATGTAAAGGTCATGTTAAAAAAAAAAATTAATGTGAAACTTCCCCTGCTGGGCCCAGATATTCACTTTTGGTTGAACTAAGGAAAGAGGAATTCAGGGTAATAGGCAGAGGGAGGGACAGGTAATTTGAAATGAGGCAAAACGCCAACACACCCCAAATTCAGACCATACAAACGTAGTAGGGGCCGCTGTGAGTACATTCGAGGCCGGAAGTCACTAAAGACCCATTGGGTTAATTTCTGTATGAACTCCATGGGCAGAGCACCTCCCTGAAGCTTTGAAAGATGGAGACAAAAATGGTTGTGGTGAAAGGAGGGTGGGCAGGGCGAATAAATCCAGGAGAATGTTTACGGAGGCATGAGGCCAGGAATTTGTGTTTATAGGATGATTCGGGACGCTGATGGAGGGCGGACGCCTTCTGTTTCACCCAGTAGATTGGGTTTAAGTCGTTCCCCTCTAACGGAGCTGACTCAGGTCCTCGTTTTGGGAGAGAAGGGAAGACAAGGAGAAAGGAGTGGAGAGGTGGGGATTGAAAAATGATAGAGAGGAGAGAGGGAGAGAGAGAGGAGGAGGAGGAGGAGGAGGAGAGAGAGAGAGAGAGAGAGAGAGAGAGAGAGAGAGAGAGAGAGAGAGAGAGAAAGGGGGAGTGAGGGAAGTGAAGATGCAAGCAAGTAATGACCACAGTACTTCAGGTGCTGGACGCTGTGTCCAACACGCCAGTTTATGGGAGGGACCTACCTTTTTGGACAGCTTGCGGCTGTCTTCAACGAAGCGCTTTTCTCTGGGAGTGAAGGCCCGAATACTTGCTTTGACCTAGAAAGACATCATTGTTAAAAAGCACAGCATTTCTATGGACTTCATCCTTCTCCTTTGCTTCTTTCGAAAAAAAATTATTAAATGTATTGGCGTGACATTGGTTAGTAAAGTTACATAGGTTTCAGGTGTACAATTCGGTAACACATCATCTATAGATCACATTGTGTGCTCACCACCCAGAGTCAGTTCTCCTTCCATCACCATATATTTGACCCCCTTTACCCTCCTCTACCACCCCCCTTCCCCCTTTACTCTCTGGTAATCGCAAAACTGTTTCCTGTGTCTATGACTTTTTGTTTCTTTGTGTGTCTTGCTCCTTTGTTGCTTTCAGTTTTATATCCCATGTATGAGTGAACTCATATGGTTCTGGGCTTTTTTCTTCTTAATGACTGGGAAGAATGGCGAAACCAATAATCCTGACCCTAAAGCCGTTGGCAGGGAGCAGAAGAACGGTGGCTACCCCTGAGCTCTGCACGTGTTTGTGGGGATCATTTCATGAATATCGTGTCACTGGGGTGGGTCAGGCTGGGTCTGGGGGGGGGACTCGAGAATGTTTGCAAATCACTGGAGGTATTTTAAGCCACTGCAGAGACTGGGTTCTCAAACCAAAGTCTCTGAAAATAAAACTCCCCTTCCCATCAAGGTTGTGAACCATATTTTCACCAACAATACCCTGCATGTGAAAATCGGCTTCCCACTAATAATAACACCTTTCCCACAGAGAGTCGCACTTCTTCTCCATGATGAGGAAGAATAAGTAGATGAGCCATTTTAGTCACATTGTGTTGGGAATAAACCGAGGCTCAGAGGGACACAGTTGGTTCGCCTTCCTCATCGTACTGAGGAAAACTTCAAATAATAAAATTCAAGTCCTTCTCCATCACCTGGGCAACTGGAAAAGTCACTTAATTAACATATTTTCTATTTTAGGCTTTCCCCCTCTAACTCAGGTTTTAGCTATGTGCATAGTATATACACATGTGCTTGCCAGAAATAAATGAGAAATGAAGGATGGTCTCTGGTGCAACAGACATATAAGGTTTCCTTGAAGAAAAAGAGGGAAAAAATGGGGGAGAAGAGGAAGTAAGAACAACTCCATCCGGGAGACAGTGCCCAGAGGTCCAGCATTAGTGGAGATAAAATACAACATTTCCCAACATGCCCATTGGTTTTATGAATCATGCCTTACAGACACTGAACAAGAAGCAGTATTGCAAAGCAATGATTGCAGGCTCAGAAAGATCTGGATTAGATCCAGACTCCCTCATTTATTAGCAAACCAGCTCTCCTATTTCATTCTGTTTGCGCGTGATAAAAACGGCATGAATGATACCTGTTGACCAGGTTTCTTGTGAGGATGAAATAAAATAATGTTAGAGTCTAGTACATTGTAGGTGGCCCGTGAATGGCAGCCATTCTTATGCTTACTGTAAACGCTCCTTTACCCAATGTTCGTTTATACACCAAATGGATTAACCGGTGTGTTCTCCTTTCCCTTTCTAGAAGTTTCTGCTGATACCATGTGACAAGCTCCTGTGGGTCTGGGACATCCGTTCATAAGAGTTGCCCACCGAGAATCAACCGTGCCAATTCCCAAACCTGTTTATGCCAGTTTGACCCATTATTGTGATTCTACATTTACTCGATTATTATACAAATCTTTGAAATACAAGCAGGGATGACACGAGTTTAAATTTATATTGCTCTAGAAAGCCCTGATCAAGGTCAGTCACTAAAAAGTTACAGTGATTGAAGTAAAGGTTTTCTGGGAAAACAACCTGGAAAAACTCTAGATTCAGATTGTTCTGTGAATATCTTTAAAGCATATCTCCACTTTAAAGAAACCGAAAGTAGCAATTATGATAGATGTTACGGGTGTATTTAGGCAAGAAACATGTTTTAGAACTAAAAATAATAAATCTGTGCTCAAAAAAAGAAATAAACGATTTTAGGCCCACACCCTTGAGATTGGCAAATGAATGTATATTTACATATTTACATTAAACTAAAGATTGAAGATACATTAAAGAAAATTTCCTCCTTTAACAGCAGTTTCCAATGGAGTAAGTACTTGTTTTGACAGTGTTGGATAGCAGGATATCTACTGTAATAAATACCATGTCAGAGGCTTGAAAATATCTCTGTCCAACAGCCAGTTTTTGCCTTGGAAGAAGATGATAGGTAACAAAGCTAGAAAACTAATTTTTCCCTTTCTTTGTAATTTTTTCCTTGACATTTAGATTTATTGAGAATTAAACACCATCGATTCTAATGGCTCAATAGGATTAACATCAGCTGAAACCTGGAGTTTCTAGCACTGATTTTTATGGCTGAGTTTTGAAACATTGTTCCCTCTTTTCTCTCTCTCCCTCCTTCCCTCCCTCCCTCCCTCCCTCCCTCTTTTTCTCTCACTCACTGCAATAACTCTGAAACATTTTACATTGATTTGAGTCTCTCCAGGCTGATCACCATTCACTTTAGGTACAGACAATCTGGGGAGTACGCCCCAGTTAGACTTACGGGATTATATATGAGGTCCATCTCCAAGTAAATAACTCCTTTAAAAGCTTGTTCTAAATCTTTATTCTTCAAGACGTAACAATTTGTTTGTCCATCTCGAATCTGTCATAAGCAATAGATAAAATAGGCTTACATGAAACAAACCAGCAAAGAATGTAGAACGCACACATAGATGAAGCAAATATTAAATCATAAATCAACTTTTAATTCTACAGTGCTGTTATAACTGGTAAGCAGATACAGTTACAATTACCAGGCTGAAGCTAATGTATTAATGGAAAATTAGTGGTGCAAATTATTCCTAAGCCTGCGTGGGCTTTCCTTCAAAAACCCCAGAGGTAATACGTTTTTATTTATTAAAAGATGATATTCTACAAAATCGCTGGCCAGTCCTCAAGATTGCCAAGGTCATGGGAAAAAAGAAACACTTGGCAACTGTCACAAATCAGAAGGTTAAGGAGATAAGATGACTAAATGCAAAAAGGACATTAGTGGAAAAGCTGGTGAATTCAAATCAAGACCAGAGTTTAGTTACCAGTAATGTACAATGTCAGTTTTTCAGTTTTCAAAAATGTATACCAGCAATGCAAGATGTTACCATTAGGGGACAGTTAGTTGAGGGGTGTATGGGAACTCTGTATTATTTTTGCAACTTTTCTGTAAACCTAAAATTATTCCTACATCAAAAGGTTATGAAACTATTTTAAAGAATGAATAAAGGAACTGATTTTAATAAAATAATCAGTGTTTCCTAGCCATGGGGAAATGCAAATTAAACAGACTGAGGTTCAAAATCCAAAAACACTCAAAACGCACCAAGTGGTGACAAACCTTCAAAATAAACAAGTCCCTCTGATAGCCTCTCGGCCAGCGTGTCACTTCAGTTCCATATACTAATCTAGCTGTGGCCCCCAGCATGAAAAGCATCTAAGAAAAGTGTTTCCTGTATCATTTTGGACACAGCTTGGTTCCCGTTATGGCATTCTCTTTTCAGAGTTGGTATCAGCAATGCTTTACGCGACACAAGAATGGTACATGTATTCAACTTCTGGCTTGTAGGAGGCATACCTGTTAACTCCAAAAGGATGTCAGCAAAATTGGAGCTGACCAAAAGCTCCACTCGGGATTGGAATGATCGAGGTTTGGAAATAACATAGGAAATTTGAGGCCATGAAATTTGAGCCATATTTTAAGTGACTATTGCTGTCACTACAAGCATTCCGCACAAGTGTTCTTATAAACAGTGGTGGAAATGAGTTGAACAAGTCACAGGGGGGAACAGAGCCATTCTCCTTTACAAGGGAGAGGTCGCCTTCCTTCCCAAAGTCACCCCACCTCTCTAGATTGAATAGGTTTTAAACAGAAAGATGGTTTTCCTGGCCGGTGGCTAAGAGGAAGGGGGTGCCCCCATAAAGACCTGGTTTCCTTCCTAAACGGTGTCCAAACAGGATTCTGAGCTTCCTCTTTTATCCACTGTCTCACTTAATAAATTGTGGGTGTTAAAGTTGAAAGAAATAAATACAAAAACAGCATGACCATTTGCCAAGCTGACTTGCGTCCAATTTAGCTTTGCTTCAACCCATAGGCATTGTGCTATTATCTTAAAATTTCCATGATTTCTTGAGGTTTCGGGAAGGTCAACAGAAGAACAAGAGGTATCATTTATAAAAAGAAATATTTTATAGTAAAAGATGTTTTGTAGTTGTTTTTTGTTGTTCTTTTTTTTAATTTGGTAAATGATCATTTCCTCTTTCTCAATGTCCTAGCATTGTGTCAGCAAAATACAGAATCCACCTAGGGAATTTAAAGCACGGATTAAAGACAGAAATATAATCAAGGCTATTAATGTTTGGTACTTTAATATACTATTATCTTAAAAATGTATAAACCACAAGTTTAAAAATTTATAAAAAGTTTAAAAACTGACAGAAAAAAAAATGTTTGAAGTTCCTTTGAACTTCCATAAATACCGCAATTTTCTCCGAGGATGGAAACTAGATAGGAATTTGGCATGTATCCTTCCAGAATTTTTATTAGGGATTTATATTCATAACTATATCCTTGAAAAAAGTATTTTAATTTTTTTGCCTAAGTATCAAACTTAGACAAAAAAATACTTTGCAACTAATGCTGGATCTATCAATATGATTTTGTATTTGATAATTTGTATTAGTATAGAGGTCTGTCTCATTTCTTTAAACTGCTATACAATATTCAAAATATAAATAAACCACAATTTATTAATTCTCCAATTTATGAACATGTGGCTGATTTCACTTTTTCAGGATGTCTATTATAAGAAATATCTTTTAGAAAAAGGTAAAAAGTAAGGGAAAGAGGAAATATACTACTTTATATGCGGAGTATGTTCAAGTTAAGAACAGATCAATGCGTTTGACAACTTAATATTATAACTAAACACTGAAACGGTAGCTAGAGAGGAAAAGATTTTAAGTATTTTCATTTCCCTCCGTCTTTATATAATTGAACTTCCAACATGAGAATACAGGATAAAAAGTTCTAAAACATCCCAACTTGCCACATTTTCATTGGTGAGCATATTTTTCCTGTCGAGACCTGTTTATTATTTATGCTTAGAACTCAGAAAATTAGTTCTAGCAGTTTCTAATTTTAAAACCTCTACTGCATAGGACAATGAAAGCGCAGCCAAAAGAAAATTCAGATCAGAGACTCTGTGCACATTTCACCTTGGAGGATGAAACAGTGACTTCAATTAAGACCTAAGTTTAGCTGGAGACCTCTGTCAGCCAAGGCACAAAGAAATGGCAGTTTTCAATTTATGACAAAAGGAGGTCTCTAAGTTCATTTGGAGCGTCTTCCTGGGCTGACATCCGGGAGGATTTCATTTCACTGGAATAAAGGGTCATTGGATAAAATAACAGATACTGTCTTTAACCTCAGCATTACCAGAAAACTCTTCAAGCTGAGTTGTCACACATCTTTGCACACCTGCCTTTTCATAGGTGAAGAGCACAGATATTAGGCAATAATTTGGGGAAAGCATCTCTTCTGGACAGGAATACAGGTGTAACCTAATAGGAAAACAACTTCCACAATCAGAGAAATGGGTCTTTTCATGTCCCTTTATATTATTTTCAGAAATGATGGATCTACCAGAAAGATTTCATTCAGAGAATGCTGACAGCTAATTCCTGGTTAATGCAGCCAGTGAATGAAAGTGAACAGGGAGTCTATTTCTTAGTAAGGATTCAGGTTTTGGAGCCAGAGGACAAGTTACAGAGAAGGTAGTCTGCTTTGAATATTAATCTGACCTGAAATCATCTTTAAACTATTCAAACATTTTTTTGAATTTTTAATCTGCTTAAACAAGCTTTCAGTAAGTAAACATGAAGAACTTTTTAAAAGTTGGATGATAAAACTAATTTTTTGAGTCAAAGAGATACTATATTCATTATATTAGAAAACTACTTTTAATCGGCGTATAACAGGGGTTGGTGTGTGGAACAGAGGGAAAAATCTTTTTTTCACCTGGCACTCCTTCTAAAGAATTATTATTATTATGTTTTACTCTGAAGTTCTTTGATGTGACGAGTTACCAACTGATTCAATGGCAAAGTTAATCAGAATCAATATGAAGGAATAAAACCATTAGTTGGCTTGGGGAGGAAAGATACACATTTAAGATCAAAATCCAGACTGAAGAGTCCTATTGATCCCTTTGGTTTGACCTTCATGAAAAAAAAAAAAAAAAGGAGAAGACTGGGGTGTAAACAACCATTACGCAGTCAGATGCTTTTTATGTCAGGCAAAGAGGAAAATATAATACTTCAATGTGATACCACCACGATACACCAGGTGGTCCCAGGTGGTGCACATACTAAGTGACACTTCAGTGAATTACGACGTGGACAGATATGCGGCTGGACAAGAGGTAAATACATACACTTTACTTGGTAGCGATTCACATTCATGCCCCTTCCTGGAATCAGGCCTATTTCCAATGGCATGAGTGACAAAGAGCGTGAGAGATCGCGGTTTATCTGACACAGAGTCGACCACCAGACAACAGAGGCAGCACGGGGTCCATCGCCACAGACCCTCACCTCTCCTTTCTGCCAAGGCAATCCCTCTCACCCACCGCCTGAATCCTGAACCCAGCTCTAAACTCTGGGGATGGCAGGAAACCTTGATGTGTCCAGCATTTCTTATCAACACCTCTCTCTAAGATATGCGTTGTCTTTACAAAAGTAATGTATAGTAATTGTGAGAACTGTGTAAAATTTACACACACAAAAATTTTTTTAAAGCCACAATTTTTTACAATATTACATTTTAAAACAATAAACGCACATCTCTTTTTAATGTATAGTTGTATTTATTTAGCTTATGAAAATAGGACCATAGTGTAATGGGTAAAATTTGGGCCTCTAGAGGCAGATGAACTGAGTTTAAATTCTGGCTCTGCCTCAGACTGGCTGGATAGCTTTGGATAAGTTACATAACTCCTCTGTTTTTCTGATTCCTAATCTACAAAATGCAAATAAAAACTAATATGGATGTCAGAAGTCATGAAATAATTAGTTAAAACAGTAAGAATGGTGACAAGTACATAGAAGTTGTTAATAACATCTAGTTTTTAGTCTTATTTTAATTTGTATGCTTTTTAATCACTTGTCTTTTAAGTTTAAAAAAATGAAAGGGAAACATCCTTATAATTGATTCTTCTGCATTATTTAGAATGGTCCTTCACTTATGAGTTTCTATAATTACCAATCCTCACTGTAGCTCACTAAGATTGTTTCCAATTTTTAACAACTATGAACACTGTGACGATTTTTTACATAGATAGCTTTGTGCATCCGTGATGCGTCCCTAAAAATAAATTCCTAGAGGTGGAATCCTGTTTTTGTGGTTTTGCCTGCCTAAAATACTGTATTAATTTATACTCCTAGCCTCTGTGAAAAAGCCTGTCCATTTCCTTACAACTTTGCCACCCACAGGCATTTTCATTTAATATACAGCAATTTCGTAGGAATAAAATGGTCTCAGGTTATTTTAATATGTGCCTTTCTATAACTAATGAGACTGAACGTTTTCTTTCCTATGTTTATTAACAGTGG